GTTAACTTAATTTTCAAGTATTCCTTTAATTTTTTTTAAATGGATTTTCTGGCAAGATAATATGAGTTTTTAGAATCCAGATACATACCAAACAAAATTCTTTGAAAAGAAATAAGGAACTTGGGAAAGCCAGTCTTAATATTATTATAAATTTGGTCAAAAGAGTAGCTCCTGCTTTCACATGGAAACAGACAATATTGAAGTCTCCTTGCAATTTATTTAGAAGATAAAACATCAAGTACACATATCACAAAGACAGGAGCAAACAGATTGATCTTTGTGAGTTGAATCTTTTTGAACAAGAGCTGAATTTCAAAATACCTGGTTTCTAATCTGGGCAAACAAGTACATCTGAACTTTCTCTCTCCTACAAGTAATGGCATTCCCCTTCCTTCCTTCCTTCCTCACAAGTCATGAAAAGCACTTTGAAAGCTGAAAGTGCCAATAACATCAGCACTTATTAGGCAGAAAAGAAAGGGGCGATGTGTAAATAGGAGGTGAGGAAAACCAGGAATGGGAATTAAGAAATCTAGTTTCTAGGCCCAAACTTGGCATCGACCAGTGCACGGTGAAAGACACTTCCCTGTCCAGCCTCTACTAAAGCACTTGTAAAATGAATTTGCCCAGTTCTTTGTAGCTCTAGGGAGTTTACCTAGAGTTAGCCTATAAATCTGAATGCGAGATCTAGAGTATTGGATGTTTTCACTTATATCAATTGGTCAGATACTGTAAAAGGTAAAGGTAGCAATACTGTATAAACAAAACTTAGATGTATTTTACACAGGTCTGTGGAAAGCTCTGCTATAGCTGACCAGTTGTTATTCCTTCATTTAGAGATGAGTATCAAGGAGCTTTAGTGGAACTCTAAAACTTTTTAAAAGAATGCTTATGTTAATATAAAAATAAAATTAACATTTATAGTAACTATTAAATATATACATGCATGCACACACGCACACACGCGCGCACACACACACTGACCTAAGGGCAGAAACAAACCCTCAAAGAAAATGCACTGTGACAATTTCCAACATGGCTTTTTTGGGGGTGGGGTGGATGGGAGGACACAAAGTTGATCATTCTATTCTATTCCCTCAAAATTTTTTTGTTAAAGGCCCCAAGGTGCATAATTACTCAACTACACCTTAAAACAAAACCACTTCCCTACAACAGGGCTTTTTTTTATTGCAAAATTTAACAAACCACCAAACTCAAGTTTAATTATTTCTGCTTTATTACATGGTATATTAAAGACCTTTAAAAGATAGTTACAAAGACTTTATCACTAAAATATAATCAGAAACCAAGTTTCTTTGAAAATTAGTAAGAGACCCCCAAAAGCCCCAAATATATTAACTTCATTTTCCAATTAGGGCAATGTAAACATTTAAAAATTATTTTTAACACACTGAGCAAGGAAAAAAGTTGTGCAGAAATCCCAATGCCACCAAAAAAAAAAAAAAAACGGACAGAATATGCTTAATGTATTTCTCCCCACCCGGTGGTATTAAAAATTAAAGCCTCCAAATGAAGTTCAGTTTCATGGTCCCAGTAGCTAAATACGGGAACTCTAATTCTGGCGGATGAGTATAAGAAAAGTGACAATAAGAAAGGGATCGAAACCTAGTGAACTGAACTTAAAAGGTAGACAAAAATAGCCTAATTTCACCACTGTAATTTACTTCCAGAAGACAAGACCCAATTCTGATAAAAACAAATCTTTATTATATTGCCTATTTAACCTAGTCTTAAAGAAAATACTAAGGTGATGGGGTACATCTGTCAATTTTTATGCAACCCCCACCCCCATCGGATCTATTCAGCCTCGCTGCCAAAAAGCCGAGGAAACTCTTCCCGGTGACTTATTACAGCTGCGGGTTGAAATCAGAGGCAGAAAAGCAGTCAGGCAGGGAGTTCAGCTGCTCCTCAAAGCCCACGGCAAGCAGAGGAGTTCGCAGTCCCCCACTCCCGCTAGCTGGAGACAGATAATCTCTGGTCAGGAGCTAGAACGATGTGGACAAAACCCTTTCCGGGGTTCCAACCCTTTCTTGAGCTTTGGTCAAAATACTTCCGTTTCTCGCAAAACTTGGAATGAAGAAAGGGAAGGATCCAGAAGGGGAAAGCTAGCCTTTTAAACCTAAACCTTTACCTATATCAGCTTTAAGTCACACGCAAAGAAACCGAGCCTTACAAGTGTCAAGGGCATTACATGGAAAGGAGCATTTCTTTGCAACGGCTCTCCTTTTAAAGGCCTCACCAGCCCGGACTGTCACACCCCTCCATAAATGGCACATTCCAGACAATCGCCAGGAGGGCTGCAAAGGGCGATTCCACCTTCCGCTGGGAACAGCAAACTTGTTGAAATTCTCATTAAGTGTTAGCAGAAAAAGCCTAGCGGCTCACTGACTCCAGCCCTTTATTACAAAGTTACTCGGGGAAAGAGTTACAAAAACATCAGGAGACGTGGACGCCGGGCGGAGAGCAGCGGGAACGAGAACCACACGGGATTTGGGGCGTGCAGTTAACCCGCACCTCCCTGCGCTTCCCCGAGGAATGGCTTCCAGGCGAGGAAAGTGCGAGCCGGGGGTTAACCCGCTCCAAACTTCGGGGGGGTGCGGCAGCGGGCACAATTTTCAGGGACCGTCTCCACTCACACGAGCCACGGGGAAAGCTCGGGCTCCGCCCCCGCCGGACCGACCCAGGAGGCGGGGCGCGCGGCGACCGAGGACGGAGGCGGGGCCGCCCCTCCCCCTCGCCGAAAACCCCCGTCCGCCCAGAGCCCGGTTGAGCCCCCCCTCCCCATCACCCACGCCGGCAGAGGCGGGAAGGGGCCTGACGGGCGTCACCGCCCCTCCTCGCTGAAGGCGGGGAGCCGAGTCCGAGAGCGGCGGGGTCCCCGGTGGGCTGCGAGCGGCCCGGCCCGAGGGGGTGGGGCCTGGGTGGGGGCGCTGACTTCACACCCCTCCCCCTCCGGCCGCGGGCGGTTCGAGGAACACCCCGCCCACTCGGTGCGGCGGGTGGGGGAGGC